CCGATCAGCTCCCTGCTTATCACTCTGACTCGTCTATGACTGATAATCACTCTGATTACTCTCTCGCTATTCTCTCCGATTAGCCTGACCAGTTTTTCTATCAAAAGACTCTCGCTAACTATCACAACACTCTGCTTTTGATTTTGCCTGAAAAACTTGTCCTGCCCTTCTCTCGTCTCTCGCCTTTTATTGTTTCTTTTCTCCAAGGTAGCCGTTGTAGCCAATTGATTTGATCTCCAGAGAATCTGCTCCAGCTTTCCTTCTTTGAACCCTTCTATGTTGGCCTTGATTGATTTGTTGATTCTTTCCCCATAGACGAGCTTCACGTAACACATTTTGTCCATCCATGGCAACGACTAGGTTTTACAACCAGGCTCTGATACCATATATACCAACAGATCTGGTTTGTAACCGTAGAATCAATTTTCCTCATTTCGTTAAGATCTCTGCTTATAAAGAGCAGATCAAAGCACTACATGAGAAACACTTAGCTGTCTTTACATCGTCTGTCTTTAAACTTGGAAAGGAAACAACCTTCTAACTTAAGCCGTAAGAATGAAACAAACGTAAAAAGGTAAAATGACCACCAGACGAGATAAGTGAGACAGTGGCGTATTGGATTCCCTCTGTTCCTCAACAACAAAGATGATGCGCCGACGTATTAGCTTTTCCCTTGTTGACCGTGGGAGATTTGAAAATGATCAAGGATCATTCTCTGTTAATAATAGGGTCACCAATAGGATGTGGGGGGGGACTGCTGCCAATCCCATCATTGTTCATGAAGTCAACCGTGGTTTGGCGTTTTATTGTCGTCGATGACAACGTCCGGGAAAGGATTCTCTATCTCTCTCCGTGGATGGTGAAGGACTTCGTGCTCCTTATCCAGCCGTGACAGCAGATTACTAATAGCTTAGTTCGTGATGCATGGAACAGATGTGGGAGAATAGATTGTTCAGTTGCCATTACTTTTGGTAGATGGTGTGGGCATAAAAGAGGCTCCAGTTTAGATGGCTTGCAAGGAGGAGCCCCCAGCAAAAAGGCAGCAAGTCGAGATGGATGTTTTTGATTCTCTGAAACCTGTGGAGTAATCCAGCAACGAGTGCGCCATCCCCTTGAATGGCGATAATTATTGCTGGGAATTATCAAGGCTTCGATATCACATTCATCAACCCCTAGCCTCTTTACCATTTCTACCCGAATTTGATAGCGAAAATCTCCACTAAACTGGTGACCATTGGACTCTCGGTCCGACGACGAACCGCAACAATACAAAAATGCCCAAAATTGATCTCATATCACCCACATTCGCTTTGTAAGGAGAAAGTGATTTCTCTTTTGGCTTGTATAATATTGTTGGAAGATAGACACAAATATGAGCTAGAAACCAAAGTAGTTAATATAATAAAGACTAGTGAATTGTGAAATGGATGGCAAACATGGATGTACTTATTGAGTAGTTTTTTTTTTGTTAAGGATGATATAGATTTTATTAAAGAAAAGGAAAAAGGAAACAGAAAGGGGAAAGGAAGAAAACAAAGACAGCAACACCAGTACAACGAGAGGAAAAGGAAAAAGGACAAAGGACCAGTGCAAGTCCAGAACTCCCTAATTCCCCCCTCCACTCCTACCAACGCTAGATATGACGGTCAGTCCAGCACACGAACGGAAACAAAGGCAGATGGTAAGAGGTTACATTGAACCCACAACACAGACACAGAGTCAAAAATGCACGGAGTAGGGAAAACTGTTGCAACCAAGGAGCGCGCAACCTTCAGGAACAGCAGCCTCAAGATTTGCTAAACAGCAGCCGGTGGAAGGGGACGATTCGGGACAGGATTGACTGTAGGAAAAGGTCTTGCTTTCATCTCGTTGAACCAGCACTCCGCAACTTCTTTCTCGACCTTTCTGTTTGCCACCAGCCACCAAAAGATTGCGTGGCCAATCTTCATTGCAATGAGCTGAGTTGTGCCATCCACTTCTCTAAAAATTCTTGAATTCCTTTCGAGCCAGATGTGCCAACAAAATGCGTGAAGGGCCACCCTTGTACACCACTCTGCAGGATTGTTGGGTTTGTTGTGTTGCCACCGGCGGATTCTTTCCGAGATATCACCAGCTTCTTCTACTCTGTCATCAATCTTCACAAAACTTTTCAGAATGCACCATACCTGCCTTGAAAAACCGCAGCTTGTGAAGATGTGATTAGTAGACTCCTCTTCGGCCTTGCAAAGGGCACATCTGTTCGGTAGGCTTATACCCTTTCTTTTGAGATTGTCGATGGTGAGAATCCTTTTGTGGAAGACCAACCAAAGGAAAATGCAGATCTTGCTTGGGATGGTGCAGTGCCAAACTGCCTTTGATGGGAAGTTCTCGACTCCCTTGAAGCGAGCAGCTGCGAAATGTTCGAAAGCCGAATGCACGCTGAAGCTAGCTGTCGGAGACGGACGCCAGATCGGTCTTTCTGGACCTGCAAAAGAATTATGAGAAGGGATAGAATTAAGAAGATTAAACAGTCTCACTCTCTCTCTTTCAGCCCCACCCCGAAGAGAATGCAATAACGGAATATTCCAAGACACATTTCCCTCAGAAAAAGAAAGGTAGTCGGCGATCGTGGAGTTCGGGAATTCAGCCGCGGCAAACACTCTAGGAAATTCTTCAGCCAAGCGGATGCCGTTCACCCAAGTATCGAACCAGAACGAAGTACAACACCCGCTTCCATGATCAATGCTAGTTAGTTTCCAAAAAGCAGACTGAAGTTTCATTATCACAGCCCAAGGACTCCCACCAATTCTCCCCGATCTATTTCCAGGATACCATTCTGAAAACTGGTTGGGAAACTTGAAATTTATGCACTCTCTCCACCAAGAAGATCTTTCAGTAGCAAATCTCCAATGCCATTTAATCAAAAGAGCTTGATTATGGAGCTCGAGGTCACAGATGCCTAAACCTCCTCTTTTCTTGGCTGTTTTACACAATTCCCACGACACAAGATGGAATCTCTCCTTTTCCTGAGTCCCTGACCACAAGAAATCCCTCTGGATCTTCTCCAAGGTTTTGATAACATTCTTAGGAATCAAAAAGAGTGAACTCATATACGTGCACTGGCTCGCAAGAACAGAGTTGATGAGCACAACTCTACCTCCCAAAGACAGCAGCAACCCTTTCCATCCTTCCAATCTATTCTGCATTCTGTTGACAATTTTATCCCAATGTGAGGTAGGAGGAGATTGGCACCCGAGAGGAACGCCAAGATAGATGGTTGGCAAGAAGGCCCACTCACAGCCAAAGATCTCGACCAGCCTGTCAATGTTTGGAACATCTCCAACAGGAAACATTTTTGTTTTCTCAAGGTTTATCTGTAATCCGGAGATAGCCTGAAAGCACACAAGAGCAGCCAAAGTATTACGCACCTCATTTTCATTAGCCTCGCAAAACAGTATGGCATCGTCTGCGTACAGCAAGTGAGTAATTTCCCCTCGACGATTTTCTTCATCGAAGCAGAAACCATTGATGTGCCCGGCATTCTTAATTTCGCAGATGATAAAGGAGAGGATATCCATGCCTATGTTGAATAGAAACGGTGACAGTGGATCGCCTTGTTTAATGCCGCGGCTCATACCGAAGAAACCGACGGCTTCCCCATTGATTAGAGTGGACAATCTCGATGATGCAATCATACCTTTGATCCATTTCCGAAATCTAGCGTGAATTCCCAAATGCTCCAAAGCTTTGAGAATACATTCCCAAGATATGGAGTCAAACGCTTTCTCTATATCCAGTTTGATAACTAGCCCAGGCTTTCCGCTCCTCCTTCTGCTGTCTATTACCTCGTTAGCGATCAGACATGACTCATGTATAATTCTGCCCCTTTTCCCTGCAAACTGATAGTCTGAGATGAGATTGTTCATATGGGGTTGTAGGCGATTGAACAGTACCTTCGCGATGATCTTATTTACACTTCCTAATAGGCTGATTGGGCGAAAATCTGAGACCATCTCAACAGAATCCTTCTTGGGCAGCAAACATATGAAGGCATGAGCGATTGACTGCGGGAGAGAACCTGCAAGAAAGAAATCATCGAAAGCCTTTAACAGATCGGATTTGATGATGCCCCAAGCTTTTTTGAAAAATTCGATCGTATAACCGTCTGGCCCCGGGGCTTTACTTCCATTACACTGACTGATGGCTATCCAAACTTCCTTCTCGGTGAACGGCACTACCAACGCATCACTGTCCTCATGAGAAACCCGACACTCTCTATAGCTGGTCGGGAAAGGTCTGTCTTTCTCTTCTTCCATAAACTTAGCTGTGAAGTGTTCTTGAAATGCACTTTCGATTTCATTTCCATCCTCCGTACTTCTGCCATCAATCACAATTCTTTTTATCTTCTTCCTTCTGCTTTTAACTTTTGCCATTCTGTGGAAATACCCGGTGTTCTTGTCACCCACTTGAAGCCAGACTTCTCTAGATCGTTGCCGCCACGAGATCTCTTCCATGATAAGGACTCTTTCAAGCTCACATTTGAGAGTGGCCTTGGAACAAAAGTCGTTCATAATTAATTAATTACACTACCAACTCCCATATGAAACAAGATAAAATTAATCAAACAAATGTGGGAAAACAAAAATGACAAGTACATCTGATTGAGAACGAGAGTGAGAGGTGGGACTATAAATTATAAACAAAACAAATATTTTAATAGTAACAATTTGAAAGATACACAATTCAGAGAAATTCAGACGTATTCATCTTCTCCCCATCATCATAAACACATACCACTACAACTTTAATTTACAGAAAATACCCAAAGACCAAAACCCAAAAACCCCAATATTTAAAAAGGAAACACACCAAAAAGACCTGACCGAGAAACTCATAAATTTCATTAAAAAAGAGGAACTGATTATAATCATAGTTGAAATTCCCCTAATTAAACACAAGCCTAGGAAGCCGGCCACCATTGATTAATCATATATTTATAATTCATGATAGAATATGAAGATTTATCTAGCTTTGGAATTAGCAGCACGATTCCTTCGATCGAACGATCGTTCAACCCTGAGCTTATGTGACTCCATAGTATCATTCGTATCATCTGTCTCATCGTCTTCATCATCCTCGTCCATGTCATCTTCCACGTAGGAAACCTGCTTCGGCCGTCTCCCAGCCAAGTTTCCTTTAAGCCACTCAACTACCTCTGTCATAATGGGTCGGTTCTCTGGGTTGGCATCGGTGCACCGGATTGCAACCATAACTGCCAACTTCAATTGCGACCGGTCGAACTTGCCTTTCAGTCTTGGATCTGCTATGTGGTCGATGGCACCTTTCTGGATGTACGGGGTGACCCACTGGATGATGTCACGCTTGATCCCACCGGGAAGTTTTTCTAAAGGTCGTTTGGCACTGATGAGCTCAAGGAGGAGGATGCCAAAGCTGTATACGTCACAGCTGTCCGAGACTTTTCCCCACATGGCATACTCGGGAGCTAGGTAACCAAGTGTGCCTTTGACTCGGGTAGTCATGTGGGTTACCCCATCAGGGATTAGCTTGGCGAATCCGAAGTCGGCGACTTTGGCTTGGAAGTTGACGTCGAGGAGGACGTTGCTAGCTTTTATGTCCCTGTGGATTATATGTGGGCTCGCTTCATGGTGCAAGTACCTGCGTGTCAAAATGAAAAGAAAAAAAATATTAAAGTCACTGACATCATAAATAAAGCAGAGCTTCGAGAGAGATGATTTTTCGATAACTGTCGGTCGCAATAGTTGAACTCAAAATGTGGTGGACAAGAATGACAAAACAAAAAAGGCATAAATACCCAATTCTTTTCTTCATAGAACCTATTGAAAACAATACACTCTTCTACTAAACGTGATCTAATTGGCAACTATACTTATAAACTATGACTGGTAACTTGTCAATGAACTTTAGGTTTCGTCTATCAAGATAGGAACAACTTGTTTTGGAAGCGGGTGCTTGGTCTTGTTAGGGCTTTTGGGCGGAGAGTGGTGAGGTGTGATAGTGAAACATTGTTTGATGGGTCGTCTATTCCAATGTATTCTTATATATTTTTTGACAACGACGCCGGCAATTTCAATGGTAATACTAACAACTACTACTAATTTAAATTGTAACCAAAACAGGCCAAATAGGAATTGTTAATTACTTGTTAATTAAACTACGATTAATTAGAGAATAGTAGTTAGTTAATGACCATGGAAGAGACGACTACTACTCACGCTAGGCCTTCAGCTGAGCCGATGGCTATGCTCATTCTCGTGGACCAATCGAGCAAGCACTCGGCGGCGAGCGGGCCGTGGAGGTGGGTGATCAAGCTGTGATTAGGCATGTAGTCGTACACGATCAGCCTCTCGTCGCCGCCGGCGTAAAACCCTCTCAGGCCCAGCAGGTTCTTGTGCCTCACCCTCCCCAGTATCTCCACTTCCACCGCGAACTCCATCTCTGCCTTCGCCGTCATCGCCTTCAGCCGCTTCACTGCTATCTGCACCCTCAAATATCCCAAAAGACCCATCAATCAAGAGCACTCCTACTAGCTAATCACAGCCCCCAACATAATTATCTGTTTAGAGTGAAAATGTCACAACCCGCAATATTATTAACAGGTGTCACATACGTAACGCGCTCTAGTACAATTTTTTGTTTGCAAACTCTACTTGTGGGCGGTTGTATTTGAACCCTCCAGGTGATTAATCACAAATCGACTTTTTACCCTTGTACAATATTTCATCAACGAACAAGATTTGTTATATAATTATTATACATAATCAAATTCGTAAAGGTTCTATTTACGTTGAAATTTTCGAGTAAATAATAGTGGCGAATAATCTTCTTAACCCAAGGAGTGGAAGGTAGATAAATTGGAGTTACCATTGAAATTAAGTATAATAATGAATAATTACCTCGACGCCTTTACTAGTCCTGCCCCAATAAACGCTGCCAAACCCACCTTCTCCGATCTTGTTATCATTGTGGAAACTGTTGGTGGCGTAGAGAAGCTCCTTCAGGGAGTATATATCCCAAGGGTAATCCTTTCCACCACCCACTAACCTGATGAAATTATATATTAGACATGAACACAAAGGCCACAAATCAAGGCTGACAAAACAACATAGAAGAGATTCAATCCATTTCTACCATACCTGAGATTATTATTACCGTCGGTCCGTCTGCTTTCAGGAAAGACGCAGCATAAGCATCTCTGCATCATCTTCTGCAGACGACGATGCTGATCGATAAAGAGGGCAAAATATTTCGCGAAAATGAGAGGAATTACGGTAGGTGTTTGAGAGGAGAGAAAGATCGAGGGAAAGAACAAAGGTTGGAATATCAGTGCCAATTCATGAAAGAAAGATGGATGAGATGGGAAAGCTTGGTAGGTAACAATAATAGAGATAAAAACTATTCGAGACACTTTTGTTTGGCTTCTTTAATTTGTTTGGTTTTGTAATTGTCGTGGAGAAATCTAAGTAGGTAGAGAGTGAGGGCAAGGTAGGACTTTGGAGAGGGAAGGGGTGGAGGAGACAAGGGAGTTTTCTGGGTACTTATGGTGAAAGACAAATTTGCAGCTAAAGATGAGCAGATTCTAGCTATTGCTAGGAAGGAAGAAACTCCAACCCAAATTGCCAAAGTAATTACTATAATATATATGATGGTGAAGTTATCTGTATTTCTTGAACACTTAGACAATTTTTAATGTTTGTTTTAGTGCGAAGATCTCGTTTGGTGTTTTTGGTTATTGTAAAAAATTGGGGTTTCCACGGCGGCATATACGTGGGCCGGAAAGGGACCCTTTTCCTGCTTTGGCTTTGATTTCAAACTTTTTCGAAATCGCGAGTAACAGTTCTACCTAATACAAAAGTATATACGTTACGTTTACTATGTTTAATGATATCTTGTTGACAAGGATTATCATAAAAATGACGAGAACAATGATTTAAGAGTTTGATGTCAAACTCATAGTGTATAGTGATGTGGTGTCGGATATAATGGTTGTAAAATGATGAGACTAATGATCTCCTTTATAATTAATTTTCACGATTTTATGATTAATAGGGATTGTATTATTTTTTTTATTCATAATAAAGTGACAAGAACAATGATTTAAGAGTTCGATGTCAAACTCAGAGTGCATACTGTATAGTGATGTGGTGTCCAATACATATAATTTTTAGTACGAGTTTTACATTAAATTTATCTTAAATCATTGGTCTGTGGATTTGGGATTTCTTTTCAGAGGCATTTTAGTATGCTATATAGTACCCATGCTTTAATATACTTAGAGCCATTAGATCTTGTTATAAAATATCAGCCATTGGATTGAAGTTATTTAATTATTATTTTTTTCACTTGTGGACTGGTAACCTGTTGCACTGGTTCGTTACACAATAATTTTAAAAAAATTGAAATCCAGTGGGGGTAAAGGCGATTGAGCTCGTCGGAATTCAGAGCTTCTCTTCCGAGGTGGAATTTCAGAGCGTCTCTTCAGCGGCGACGGCGAACCTGCATTTGAAATAGTGCGACGGCGACGGCGAACCTGCATCTAGGGCGATATCGACGTTGTGAGAAGAAAGAAATTGGGGGGTTTCAACTTTACCCTTTCGCGATTGTGAACTGTGCTCTTCCGCGGTGGGTCTCTTCGTCGATATTGAAGGGCTTGAGCATCGGCGACGGAAACAGTGAGATTGTGCGGTGGGTCTGATCGTTTTTCAACTTTCCTCTCCTGGGATTGTGTTTTGCGGTGGGTCTGATCGTTTTTCAACTTTCCTCTCCTGGGATTGTGTTTCGCGGTGGGTCTGTTCGTAGATAGTAAAGGGGGTGAGCAGTGGCGACGACAAAGAGGACTTGAATTCTGAAGGTGGCGGAGACTCTTTTACTAGAGGAAGACTCAGAAGGAATCAAAGACTCGAAAAGCCCAATCGAAAACGACGAGTCAACTAGCGCCGGGTAGGAGAACTCCTGCAATAGCGAGAATTGGGCGATAAAGCATTCGATTTCCGATTTGAAACGACGACTCAGTCATTCATTCGATGTAAGTGGCTGAAATTCTTATCTCCCTTTGATAAACATTCAATTTCTAGCTTCTAGAGCATTTGTTGGAGCAGCTTCGAGTACAATAATGGTGTCTTTGAATGTCTGACTTATTTCTCTGGAAATGTCAAGTTGTCTACTAAGGATCGGTTGCCAAATCATAGGATTGAAATTCCATGCTCGTTTTACCAGATTGAACTATGGAAGTAGAAGAGAGAATTTCTCAATTCTGTGTAACCATTTGGGATTGAAATTGAAGCTTCTCCACTGCTTTCTTCATGTGCATTCTCAATTGGATATGGTGATATAAGATGCGATATTCCTTTCCCTCTCTCGGTTTTATCAGTTGTGTGAAGTGGGAATTCTGATGTGCTCCATCTTTTCCAGTGTCTTCTTCTGTGATTTGGTTTGTCTATCTCTTTAGCTTTAACGTCTTGTGCAATGAGTATTGAAGCTCTCTCAAGTGTAGTTCTTGGTTGTGCTGTATTTTGTCACGGCCGAGTTTGATTGAGATGGGGTCATCTTTAGTCATTCCGTGATTGATGAAGCTTCAGAAAGTCTGCACTTTTTTGTGCAAATAGCTGTGGCCATCCACCATATAACTTCATTCCTCACACAGATCGTTGATGTGACCTAGGAGGTATTTGTGAATGGAGGATTCAGTGTCAACTAGGAAGCTGTCTTGGTTTATATAATCCCATAAACTGTGCTGGGGTTGTTCATTTCGTTGTTGCCTTTGCTTTCAAACTGAAGAGAATAACTGTGCTGGGGTTGTTCTGCTTGCTTCTTTAGTTCTTTGGTCTTGATTGGGTTTTAGGGATGTAAGGAATGGGTTTGTAGAGTTTACTTAATAGTCAATTTTTATCTCCCACATCCCACTAGAGTTCGAGTTATTTTCAGGGTTTTTGCTGTTTATAGAGTTAATTCATAGTCAATTTTGCTTCTTTAAGTTTCTCATATCAGGCCTCAAGGCCGGGAATGAGTTTTATACATCCCTAGACAGATACTGTTTCGAGTTTATCAGGGGAACTAACCTCAGCAAACAAATCAGTGGTCTTAGGGCTATCAATTTCCCTGATCTTCCGTGACATTTTTTTTGTAACATACGTAAATTACTGCTTTCTGAACAATCTCGAATCTTACTTTTACGTCTGTGAGTCGATTTACACATTGAAGGTTAAAGGGAGAGTTGTGCATGGTTGTGGTTGCCTTGCTGGGTAGTGAACAATCTAATCATGTACCAAAGAGGAAAATGCTTGTCACCAAGAAAACTCACACTTGGTGAAAGATCCTAGGAAATAGCATGTATGAACCAAGCAAAGATCATGTGTTCTTTATGTGGTTTTCCACCATAGCTAAATGCTATCTCATGAAAATGATATCATAAATTAGTATTGGAAACTTTTTTTTTCTTTTTCATAAATGGAAACTCTATTTCACTTGGAAAACCGGTGTGAGTTGCACGTGTCGAGAGAGCTATTGCCTTTTTGAGTTACATAATCGTCATTCCAAGCATGCGATTCATCTTGTCTTTGTGAGCCCTGGGAGAGGAGTCCTAATCATGTTCCCATTGTGGTTAAGCTAGCAACTACTTGTAGTATGCTTGTTGTGTGGATGTATTCTAGAAAAGGGTAATCGAAGCATTTGTCTTCTGTGATTCTTTGCATGAGCTTTTGTGTTGATGTGAACTAAAGCATTAGTCTTATGTGATTCTTTGCATTCATTTGAGCTTTTTATTTCGTTTGAATGCTGGCTCCGTCTACATTTATGTGATTAGTACTTCAGTTTACTATTAGAGCAAGATTGTGATGCAATTGATAGGTTATGCCGTGATTCATCAAGTGAACCTTGGTGCAAGATTGTGATGCAATCTCAACCATGCGTGATCTCAAAAAAATTTGCTCCAATCTGACCTAGCTAGCGATTGTGTTCCTTCCTTTATGCATGCCAGTATTAACTTTTTGATTGGAGAGACTTGATTTGTGTTTTATGGAGGCAAATCGAATAGGAAAGTTCATACTCAAAGTTTGATTCTTTTCAGTTTGTAGTGTCGTTACCGTTGCTTGTTGATTACATTTTGGACTGTTAATTGAAGGGTCTTGCTTGGCTGCATGAAAGGTGCAATTGAGTGTGTTAGTCAAGAACTATTTCATGAAATCAGGGTGACTTCAGTTTTAGCCAGTTTGGATGGAAATAGAGCGAGTGTTTATGGTGGTGTCATGGGTTATGGAAAGCTTAGTGGCTATGCTCGTGGTCATGTTATTTAGCTCTCAAAAGTTGTAAGTTGTGTGTGGTTTCTGGAAATATCACGGCTGTGAGAGAGACCGTGGATGTGATTCTGGAAATATCATGGCCGTGAGATAGGCCGTGAGAGAGACCGTGGATGTAAAAACGAACTTCTCAGTTTCCCAGAGGTTTTCACGGGTTGCCTTCGACAGTATCACGGCCGTGAGATGAGCCGTGTTTTGGATTTGCACGGCCAATTCTGGAAATCCCACGGTCGTGAAAGAAGGCGTGTTTTTGGATTTGTAATTCTGGAAATATCACGGCCGTGAGATAGGTCGTGAGAGAGACCGTGGATGTAAAAACGCACTTCTCAGTTTCCCAGAGGTTTTCACGGGTTGCCTTCGACAGTATCAGGGCCGTGAGATGAGCCGTGTTTTGGATTTGAATGCTGTACTTCTCACGGCTCATCTGTTAATTCTCACGGGCGTGAGAATAAGCCGTGAGATGTTCCACAGGTGAAAGTCTCCTACTGGAAATCTGACACCTTATACTGGTAATCTCACGACCGTAAAATACTCAAGTGAGATGTAAAAAGCAGTGTTTCATTCCTCAGGCAAATATAATGACCGTGAGATGTCCCGTGACATGCAAAGAGCAGTTCTTACTATCCCAGGAAATTTCACGGCTACTACTTGACATTGTCACGCCCGTCAAAATATCACATTCAATTGAAACACACAGCTGCCACTCAAACGTTCGCACAGCTCATTTTGTCAAAATAACAGCCGTGGAATTAAGATGTACCTACACTTTCTAGAGT